ATCAGACCACAATCTCTCTCCAAACGAATCCGTTCACAAATCCGACCTGAGTCATGTTCTCGTCGTAGAGCTCCAATGACCGTTTTCCATTTTCCTCACACTTGACCATGAGCAGGAAACTTCCAGCAAGCTCGACTGGAAGACGAATTTGATCGATCTCCTTCAATTCGCGCAGCTTTAGATTAGTGGTCAGCTGGACCATCGAGGCCATGACCTTTGCTATCTCCAGAGTATGACAAACCTATAACGCTTATATTTCTCCGAGAGCTTTCTTAATTGTTTTTACCTTTTCCGGGTTACGATCAGCAAGAAGGAAAGTGATCGTTTTATCCTTATTTTGTCCGAGTGTCAGAACAGTATCTTCTCCTAGAATCTCAGATAAATAAGCTGAATTGAGTGAGACTTTTTCGCATTCATGCATAACCAAGTCACATTTCTTTTGTGTCACCATCGGCACCTAAAAAACAGTAAATGAGGTTGAGGTGACAATAGCTAACGTACCGGAATGGCTGTGGCACAATAATCGCTGCCATCAACCATTGTTCGAATCGGATGAAGACCGACAGCTGCTGGTAGAGTACCTTTACGAATATGTTCGATTTGTTGGAATAAGGAGTTGTCCATGAAGTAATCCTTCGAGTAGCGGATTAAATCCGGCACAACTACAGTGAGAATTTCCATTTCTTGTTGGGAAGTTGTTGTTGTGTTTTATATGAGCGCTTTTATAGGAAAAGATGTCGCGGTTTTTTTCAATGTCAGAGTGTTTTTCAGGTACGAAAAAAGCAAGTGCATGTCTTTGTCAATTTCGCCAATTTGAGAAGGAGAGGCAGAGAATAACTTTTTGGGCACGTCTCTGCGAATGGGCTATTTTTGTTGAAAAAAATAGGATGAATGGGATAGCATTATAGAGATTCCGAATTTAACCGTCCCGGCTGGCATAAATCCAGTTGAAACTGGCTAATTTTGGATGTCCAAAATACGATATAGGTTTGTTGAATGAAGCTGAAATTGTTCAGGTTCACTGGACAAAAATATAAATTAGACGTTGTATTTGAAATATTTTCAACGAATAAATCCAAATAAAATAACCCGATCGAGAGCGGCTAAGTGGCAAACTTACATTAATTTCAGGGACTTCAGATGTATTTTCAGGCATCTCACGTGTCATATTTCTCATTAGGAATATTTCATCAAAATCAAACTTATCGAATTCCGGGCCGACCCGGTGATTCTTGAAAAAAAATGTGTCGAATTCCACCTAAAAAGGAATTTCCTGAGGAATGTCGCCCTTACAAAAGTACTTTGTAAGTATTCGAAAATTTCATTGACGTTTTGAAAGTTGCAAAGAACTTCAGAATTTTGAAATTTCAGAATTTGATTCGGGCCGGTTTGGAATATTATTCGTTTCAACTAGATTCATGCCAACTATGATTTGAATTACTTTGTAAAAAAATTGATAACAAGTAAGTGCTTTTAATAACAAGTGGGTGAAGCCAGTGAACTATTATCCCTTGCTGTGTCTAACCTAATCAAAGTAAATGTTTCCTGAGAAATCACATGACTACCGTAAAACCTCTAATAGAACGACACCCGGATCGTCCACTTTGAGCCTATATATCTCATTTTCTGTGAAAGATATCAAAAAGTGGCTAACTAGTAAAATGTTGCTGATACCCTGATAAACATTTTACTAGATGACCACTTTTTGATGCCTTTCAAAAGAAGTGAGATATATACGATCTAAGTGGACGATCCGGGTGTTGTTCTATTAGAG